CCCGTCACAGAAGAAATGGCCACCGTTGTTGTCAGCTCAAACCAGACCTGTCGAGAGGGCTGCGAGCGTGGGAAGGACTGGCGAGCTCACCTGCTGAAGACGTTCTCGCTGAAAGTTACGGTTTTCTCCAGGCGAGCGAGGGGAGGTGGTGTGTGCCGCCCCTGGAATGTCTCCAGAAACGCCATGTTTCATGTCGTCACGATCCGGGCTGTGTCTTCAACCATCTAAAGGGTAGTATCAGTCATAATTCTTACATCAGGCTACACCTGATAAAAGCAGGTCCCAGCAAACCTTCACCTCCATGTTTTCCAGCCCTGAGAACTTGACCGACTCCCTCAAATGAAGTGGTAGGTTATAACGCAAGAATGGAACAGAAATATAAAGAAAAAGCAGTGCCTTTTCGTGTGCTGCTCTAATCTGACTTGTAGAGTCACCATCAACACGATGAAAATTCCTCCCCTCACCGGGAAATTCTGGGGAAGGAGGGAACTAAGCAGCTGGCCCAGCCCTGGCAGAAATGTCCTGGAGTGCCTATGCAAACAAGTGTCGAAATGGTCAAAAAGAAACATATGGGGGCTTGGTGGTTTCCCAGTCTGTTATACCACTTCTGCTCAACATGATCCGTTTATGAAATTGAACCTCTAAGGCCGGGCTCTTCAAAACATACCTGGGAGCCTGGAGCCTGCTTCTCGGATTCTGTGTGTTTCCTCCTCTCTGTCTCCCCCTCCACTACCTCATTTGGTGTGTGTGTTCCTCTTCTAAAAATAAATAAACATTTTGGGCGCCTGGGTGCTATGCAGTGCTCTGTTGGGACTGTTACCACAGGTCACTCATCTCGAAACCTCCCAGCCATTCCCTGCCACTGCTGGGTTTCCTGGCTGATGGCTCAGAGCCTGGAGCCTGTTTCCCATTCTGTGGCCTCCCTCTCCTCTCTGCCCCTCCTCAGCCTACATGCTCTGGTTCTCTCTGTCCCAAAATAAATAAATGTTGAAAATAAATAAATAAATAAATAAATAAACATTTTTAAAAAATATTTTAAAAAAAAAAAAGAAAGAAAGGAAAACAGATGAGTTTGACCTCGTAACCAAGAATCGGAAAGAAAGTCCTAAAGTTCCTTTGTCTTGGTTCAATCTATCTTGTCGCATTACCACACTCCGTGACACTGATTCCCATCAAACCACGTGGTTTAATACACCTTAAGCCGGAGCCTCCCTCCACGGATGCTGCCAAAATCTAACGGCTTCCTCCAACTCAATTTCTGGCCACAACACACAGCCCGCCAAGACCGCTTCCTTCCTTATTGGTTTTCCTGCCTCCAGCGCGGACGGCAGGCAACCCCTCCTCTCAGAAAGTGGCAGTGGGGGAAGTGCCGGTGCTCAGCGGCACTGGAACCAATCACTGAATGAAATGAATCCCCCGACCACAACTCACTAGCTGCGTGCCCACGTTAAGTGATTTAACCTGTCTCCACCTCCGTGCTCTTATGTTAGGGACGATGTAAAAATGCGCTCTCAGGATGCTAAAACAAGGGAGACTGGGCATGTCAAGCCCCGCAGATCTGGCCCCTCACAGTCTGGCCAACCTCGATGGTGGCCACCACCCTTTCCCCACTCACGCATTAGGGGCATAAACGCTTCCCTACTGTCCCCTGCACGGAAAGAGCTGAACAGGAAACGCTACTCACGCAAAAAAGCAGAGGCTTCCTACCTGGCAGAGAGGAAAAACAGCTGATTTAGGCAGTAACTGATAAGGGTTTAAAATAAGAAATGACACGTTTGTGCCTAGGTGTTTACTTTGAAGCACTAACCACATTTTCCCTCCACAAATTCTTTTAGGCTAGTAATTAGAGCTTATTAAAAATTTACATTGTGTAACAGTTACCCAGAGAATTTTAATAAAGAAGTATACGTCTGTAGAAAAACTACGTGTGACGCACTCAAATACATCATTTCTTGCAGGATCCCTGCCAGGGAGGAATGGGTCCCCACTGAGTCACAGCCAAGCCCCCACCTCACCCCCGACCACAGTCACTTTGTAGGAGCTATTTTCAGTGCGTTTCAGGGCCCATGAGGAACACACAGCCTCCAACCCACAGACATTTACAAAGCAGCGTGAACCTAGCCTGCAGGGGACTTTAAAAACATGAAGTTTAAAAAGCCGACGTGTCTTGGGGCGCCTGGGTGGCTCAGTCGGTTGAGCGTCTGACTTCAGCTCAGGTCACGATCTTGCAGTTCGTGAGTTCAAGCCCCGCGTCGGGCTTTGTGCCGACGGCTCAGAGCCCAGAGCCTGCTTCGGATTCTTTCTCTCCCTCCCTCTGCCCCTTTCCCGCTCGCGCTCTGTCTCTCTCTGTCTCTCAAAAATAAACATTAAAAAAAAAAAAAAATAAAGCTGAGGTGTCTAAATGTTTGGGGTCACAGAGAGCTTTGGAACTGGATGACGCCCACAGACATACATACTCAGAACTTTTCCTAAAGAATCAAGGGTTTCAAAAGATCCCCTGAGACCCACCTATGTACTTGGTGGGTTAAGAGGCACTCTTCAAAAAAACTCTATCCGCGAACTAAAGAACTTAGCAATTAGTTCCACAAAGAATAACTGTTATCAGGGAATATTAATGATTCCATTATATTAACTATATAACATTAGACTAACTATATACATGGAAATAAAAGCCATAAACCATAAACTACGGGGTGATAACTAATCTTCATTGATCTTCCTATAGGCCAGGAACTGTGCTAAGAGCTTCACAGATAGCGGTGGTTCATCAACTCCTGACAACCACACTATCCCCATGTTTCTGTTAAGGGAGCTGAGGCTGAGAGGATCCAAGACAGCTGGAAAGGCCACACAGCCAGAGAGGAGCAGAGTCAGAATGAGAACCGAACA